TCCCCACATCCGTGTGTCGTAAGTAATCCGAAACATCGAAATTTGCTGTTCTCGTTCTTTATTCGAATTTCACGATAATTTTTTCCTCTTTCATCGGAACGAATCGCGAGCTATAAATCCGTGTCCCATTATACGGCGCATTCGTGCGCGGCTGATAAATTAACATAAGAATGGAGTTGGAATAAAATCCGAGCGATACTGCGCGGTGAACGCATCGCTTTACATCGTGAAAATATTCCATCGCCGATGGGAGCTTTCATAGAAGTGATTTCGCGTCGATGAGGTAAATGCTGCGCTGCTGTATTTCACGGCAGTGGAGTGGGTAAACGGCTAGCTAGACTGAATGAAGGACGGAACGGAGTAGAAGCGAACTATACCGAATGTAGAATCACCAGAAATTAGCTGTATCGAGTGTAAACGAGCCCAAGTAGACTGCGATCGAACCACAAATGCGAGGGATCTATAGTGAATCGCTTCTCAATTGCTAGATCATTACGTATCGAATGATGTGTCAACTGTAGTAGTTTCAAGTTGTGTGAAAAATCAGAGTGCAAGAAAATATTACGGAACAGATAGTTTGACAGAGCGAGCTTTACTAAGACTGACTGACGATAAGTAAAAAGTTTGTAAATATATTTAATTATTGCCGAAGGTATTTTTGACGGATAACATGATATTTATTGATTGAAAGATTTAATGAACACTTTCGAGTTATTTCTTCGTTATTAGTTGCTGCTTTTACTACATGTACTAAAACATATACTGTTACTACAAGTACCTTGTAGTATACTGCTATTATAAACATACTGTTACTATATGTAGTAAAACATTACACTGTTCATATGTATATTTATATATTTTGCTATACAGGGTGTTTCACAACTAGTGAAGGTTCCTGAAATGAGGGGAAGCTGATTCTGAATAAGATTTCCCTTTGCAAAAATGGGGTTTGAAGCTTCGTTTTTGAATTATTAAGGAAAAACACGGACCAATCAGAGCGCGAGGACTACGTATGCGCAGACGCGAGAGCGCCGCCTTCGAGCCTAATGGCGGAGTGGGCGTAACCCTCGCGTTTCGAACCTAGCTGCGCGCGCAACTCTAATTGTGAGACGCCCTGTATCATCATATGAATAACACTACATAAAATAATTTACGCAACAGATTATAACACTATCAATACCCATACTGAAAAATCTCAAAGTACAGTACTCCATAAATCATTTATCTCCCACCTTTAACTATTCTGTAAGTTAACAGTGCAACAAAGTTACAATCCCAATTGTATAAACCACCCTATATATTCTAATACACATTGCATTAAACAGAAAAGTAAGCATGAATCACCTTTTAAGCAAAAGGTTAATTTGGTGTGACAAAATGACGAGATCACAATCTCAGGGAAAGCAGGCGAATTAAAGCGAAGGGTGCTAATGCAAGGGAAAGCAAACAGAAATAAATTATAGCAAGTGCTAGCCAATAGAGCGGTGCTAGAGGGAATAGAACTAGGGTTACCTCGTGAATGAAATATTAAAATCCAAGCTTGAATCCCCGTTAGACCTGAATTTCCACGGAATTAGGCTCGTATCCTTGACGCATTATTACAATCTGCTAATGAACGCCTGAATAATAAATCGTTATGATTGCTAATCTTCTCGTGCGTACGTAAACTTAGATGGAGTACATCTCGTCATTGAACAAATAAGATTGAATATATTTGTCTACCGTATGCATCAGCACATTGCATTTTACTTTGTACATGCATATGCAGATTTGTTCAATGTCTTTCCGATTTCTTAACCAGAAATCAACCTTCATATTCTTGTATATCTAATGTATCATTTGTTCATATTTACCTTGCAAGCTTATGTCGACTGCGGTTCCTGAAAAATTTCTACATAAACCTACTTTCTTATTAGATTTTCGAAGAAGGTGTGTATAGCGTATATGCTTCTGTAGTTTCATAGAAAACAATTTTTATAAATTTGCTCGGTAACAGTCTGACACGGCTCGCTGCAATTTTGGTACAACTGGTTTCTTGTTTCAGTGTAAAATCTAACTACGAAATTTTTTTATTGAATGCCTGCTTAAAAAATGTCCAAACTATCATCAAAAATTTCTGTACAACTATGCAGTAAATCTATTTCAGGTTCTACAAGAATATCTTGTACTTCCAATCAGTTAAGTTCAAAATCTGTGATCTTAAAGTTCGAACTTAAAGTTCTTCACCTTGAAGTACCACATTAATCCTCAAATTAACTGCATTAAAAAGAGCGTTCAACAACGTAAAAGAATTTCGATTAGTTTCATTACAGGAGGCAAAGATTTCGTTCGCAAGAGAATAAAATAATCTCGTATCCAGAGCGGCGCGAACCTCGTTTCGTTACTTTCCGCTCAGACTCGTTCGAAACTAATCCTATAAACTTCCTGCCGGTCCAGTTCGAAAGCCCGCGCAAACGGATATAACGAAATAACTCCGGAACTCGATCGATTCTCATCTTTCCGGGTCGAAATCGTTCATCCTCGTTCCGTATTCACCTTTTGTCTACAGTTTTTCAAGTTATTCTCTTCCTGATATTTTACTGGTGCGCGCTGAACCATCGGAACTCTACTCTTCGTGGCAAATTTTCCACCGCTCTTCGACACGGCCGCGCGACGATTCAATACCGCCATTCAAAATTGAACCAGAATCTTGTTCATCGTGCGAAGGGAAACACGCGAGCGATCATCGCACGCTTTTCCATTACGACTCTTCCGAAAAAGGGTGCATCATTCTTGTCATATGATGTAGGTCAACGTAAATTGAATTAAAACTATCGTCTATTACTACAATTTTATTTTTTGTGAAACTCTATCGCGGTTAAGCGAGGCAACTAGTTTAACTTCGTTGAAGTTCATTGAAAATTATTTGCTGAATTTTTATGAATAATTTTATGTTTATTCTGCAGGCAATAAGAGACATGAATGTTATAAGGGTTGCTACGTCAGTACACTTCATGTTAAGTACGTGTATTCATATGGATATTGATCTTCATAGGGTGATCCAGTATTTTACTGACCAACTTTGATGAGATATTTTATATGAATATCTCATATGAATAATAATAATAATTATGATAATAAAATAAGAAAACGATGTTATATTAACATAGGGGTTGTATACAATGTCAGACATTTGACTTATCGAGACACACAATTTAAAAAAAAAAAAAAAAACAAGTTGTACAAAATTATTTTTTATACAAATGGACAAACGTTCTTTTCAATTATTTAAAAAATTCAACTTTTCGTGGGTTAAAATAAAAGACTAAGAAAAGGGTGAAACTTGTTAACCTACTAAACCCAAAAAAGTTAAAAAAAGAAAACCTAAAAAGTAGCAAAAATCCTGAAAAACCTAGAAGACCCAAAATTGCGAAGATATAACGTCCCCGAATACAGAACGTCCTAATAACTAAACGAATAAAGAAAAAGTAGTACCACAGATATAAAATGAGATACGAATCGAGCCGGAATGAAATTAGAATTTTATTACGCGTGTCTACAACGAAGCATATTTTGATTAAAGTTTTTCACGCTCTATACACCCGGCACAAAGGTAAAGGTAATTTTGTAACAAGGTAGAAAGTTGAAGGGATGACAAAGGTCGCGTCGAAACACATTTTGCGCCGGCTCGTTTGCTTTCAGGAAAAGCTACATTTTCCCCGCGAGCCATTCGTCTCAATATCACAAGTTTTTTTCGCGGCGAGTCGCGAATATATATCGAATTCGACCGGTCGATCCCGTTTTTCCAACAATCCACGTACCAGCAACGATCCCTTTATCAACCCCGAGGCTGTTCCAGCTTTTGTTTCGCGGCTCACAGTTACCTCAGCTACGAACTATAACGCCCTTTGTGCGATACGCGTCTCTTTTTATTTTTTCCTTCGGGTTTTTTTCCGTCGAACGTCGTCGTTGGTCCTGTCATCGGTATACCTGTATGATTTGCGAGAGCCAGACCAGAAAAGCACCCTTTTTTTCTCCCTCTACTTAATAATTCGGCGACAGCCAACTTTGCGACCCTACCACCCCCTTTACTCGCTATCTGATTCATCCTGAATAAATTTCTCGTTCAACGAGAAATTCAATAAATCCTTTTGGCCGGTCGCGCGAAAAACGAGATTTTCCTACTTGTATGCGAGGAATCTTTTTGACAAATGCTTCACAATTCGATCGGTGCATCGCGTCGAAAAAGTACATTCCGGAATTATTTTTCGAATGTTTATTAAATTTTTCGGCTCTTTGTCAATGCTTACTGCCTCTGAACAATGAGATGGATTTATCGAAATGTTGTACTACTCGGAAGTATGAAAATTACTAGAATTGGTGGCTTTGATATATGAGCTTTTTTAATAAACGTGTAAATTCAATTTTGGAGGATTAATAAAGGGAGTTCGATCAGAAAAAAATTCTGGGGCATCTACAGGACATTTATTTCATACCTTTATGATAATAATAGATAGACATAGATGTCTTCTTTTCATATTTATAATAACCCAACTGCAGTAGTATGCAATATCCTTGCTTTCTTTCGGAGTTTCTTAAAAGGAGTTTCATTATAAAATTTTATTACAAGAATGGATTTCTTGAAAGAGGTACGTCTCTCGACAATCGAAAGAAGCTCGTGTTAAACAGGTTTATTAATTTTTATTGCAGAATAAAATCTTACAAGTTTATATTATGAATACATCCCCGAAATTCGTTCAAATTTATTTATAAATATTTTTAAATCGATTCGAACAAAGACTTAAATATTTATAACCTCATTTATAAACATTTCAATATTTGACCCTTATTTATAAACCCTTAATAAGCTTATTAAGAAATGGAAATAACTGTATTAATATCGTTTAAGAAAACAATTCATGTACCCATTAATAGTACATGCTACTCAAAATAAAATTAAGATCATAAAGTTTAAAAAAGTTAGAAGAATAAATGTTTGAAAATTTATAAAAGAAAAATACCTGTGTACCTCGACGATACACAGCCCCAGTTGTACAGCGCTGCACGATTAATCTGAAACAAAGAATTATTGAAAGGTTAGTTTCCCCTTTTGTTATTGTGCCGAAATATTTCGACCGAATCTACCATTGTTCTTTCACCATTTTTTCTAATTTAGTAAACTGCAGCGTGCACGAAAAAAGGATCATCCTAGTGGAATGGAAAAGAGTAGATCCACTAGGGGGAGCCGAGGCGAAAACGATAATAACCGGCCCGCAAATTTCCGCAACACGGAAATTCGTAGAAACTTCGTAGAAATTTCATTTCGTAAAACTTTCCAAATATTATCTACATCAAAATGGCGCTAGGAAACTTCTTCGAAGGCACGAATTATTAAGTTTGAAAGTTTTGTTTTTAGGTACTCGAGGTTTATTGTTTCTGGGGTTATTTGAGGATTCGGTTAGTTCGGAATTTGAGGATTTATTTGAGGATTCGATTATTTTAGGACTTGATCATTTGAGAATTTGAGAATTTGAGAATATGATCTTCTGAGGATTTTATTATTTCAGGATTTGATTTTTTGAGGATTTTATTATTTCAGAATTTGATCATTTGAGGATTTTATTATTTCAGGATTTGATTTTTTGAGGATTCAATTATTTCAGAATTTGATCATTCGAGAATTTTATTATTTCAGAATTTGATTTTTTGAGGATTCAATTATTTCAGAATTTGATCATTTGAGGATTCGATTATTTCAGGATTTGATCATTTGAGGATTTTATTATTTCAGGATTTGATTTTTTGAGGATTCGATCATTTCAGAATTTGATCATTTGAGGATTCGATTATTTCAGGATTTGATCATTTGAGGATTTTATTATTTCAGGATTTGATTTTTTGAGGATTCGATTATTTCAGAATTTGATCTTTTGAGGATTCGATTATTTCACAATTTGATTATTTGAGAATTTTAGAATTTGATAATTTCATCGTTTCATAATTCCATCATTTGATAATTTAATCATTTGAGAACTTAATCATCTGATAACTTCATCATTCAATAATTTGATCATTTGAGGATTTTATTATTTCAGAATTTGATGTTTTGAGGATTCGATTATTTCACAATTTGATCTTTTGAGGATTCGATTATTTCACAATTTGATCATCAAATTTTAGAATTTGATAATTTCATCGTTTCCTAATTCCATCATTCGATAATTTAATCATTTGAGAACTTAATCATCCGATAACTTCATCATTCAATAATTTGATCATTTGATAATTCAATCAATTGAGAACTCGATCATCAGATAATTTGATCATTCGATAACTTCATTATTTGAAAACTAGACCATTTAGTAGTTTATGAATATGAAAATTTGAATACCATCGCATCTCAACAAGCAGTCAGACGCAAACTCTCCAGCGGGCACTTGATCTGTCGACCGCCGCGAAGAATTCATCCGAGACAATTAAAGTGAATTTTTATGAGCTCCCCATCGCTTTTTCTCCGCATAAAGAAACATATTTATGTTGGCAGTTGTGCTCCACTCTAGCATTTTCCGTGGGTTTCATAAATCTCTGGCATCGCGCGAGGAACGTCGCGAAACCGACCAAAAGAGCCACTTTAATTTCGCTCGCGAAGAAACCGAGGCTCGTTGCAACGGCGAGAATGCTCCTAATTTCGCGCGTGTACCACCGGACAAAGCAAGAAATTGAAGATGGGGTTTGAAAAAGAGGAAGGAACACCGGTCCCCGGGTAAAAATTTTCATTTCCGTTGGAAATATGACAGAGACACGGTCACAATTAGCGAAACAATGCGCAGGAAATGCCAAGAGAAAGACGTTGCTTCTCTAACGCTAACGGGGAAGAAAAGGGTCGAGCTTTCTTTTAGCCCATCTTTGCTTCAGATTACTTGGACCTTTTTCTTCGCTCGATTCGAGAGAGCGAATTCCTCCGGGGACTTCCATTTATTTACCTTAACCGAACTCGATTCTTTGCTCTATGACTCGCTGTACTGATGCTTTCGATGGTTCACGCGGGTTTTAAGAGAGGGTGTTTTCTGTTGTTTTAGTCGTTTGAGGTTCGACTGATCAGATCTTTGGAGCAGCGGATCGCTTCAGCGTTTGCAGACAAGTTCGAAGACTATTTTATATTTTTGTATTTGTGTTTGAGTTGAAAGACGTGTTTTTATAAAAATATGTGAATATGTGAATATGTAGTGTGAACATGTAAATATGTCAACATGTTAATATGTCAATTATGTATGTGAATATGTAAATATGTCAATATGTTAATATATCAATTATGTATGTCAATATGTCAATATGTTAATATTTCAATAATGTCAATATGTCAATATGACAATATGTTAATTATGTGTGTGAATATGTCAATATGTCAGTATGTTAATATGTCAATTATGTGTGTCAATATGTCAATATGTTAATATGTCAATTATGTATGTGAATATGTAAGTATGTCAATATGTTAATATATCAATTATGTATGTCAATATATCAATATGTTAATATGTCAATTATGTATGTGAATATGTAAATATGTCAATATGTTAATATATCAATTATATATGTCAATACATCAATATGTTAATATGTCAATAATGTATATGAATATGTAAGTATGTCAGTATGTTAATATATCAATTATGTATGTCTATATATCAATATGTTAATATGTCAATTATGTATGTGAATATGTAAGTATGTCAACATGTTAATATATCAATTATGTATGTCCATATATCAATATGTTAATATGTCAATTACGTATGTGAATATGCAAGTGTGTCAATATGTTAATATATCAATTATGTATGTCAATATGTCAATATGTTAATATTTCAATAATGTCAATATGTCAATATGACAATATGTTAATTATGTGTGTGAATATGTCAATATGTCAGTATGTTAATATGTCAATTATGTGTGTCAATATGTCAATATGTTAATATGTCAATTATGTATGTGAATATGTCAATATGTGAATATGTTAATATATCAATTATGTATGCCAATATGTCAATATGTTAACATGTCTATATGTCAAAATGTCAATATGCCAATATGTCAATATGTCAAAATGCCAATATGTCAAAATGTCAATATGTCATTACGTCAAAATGTCAATACGTCAAAATGTCAATACGTCAAAATGTCAATACGTCAAAATGTCAATACGTCAAAATGTCAATATGTCAAAATGTCAATATATCAAAATGTCAATTACATTAAAACACATATTACAAAAATGACATCAAGCTCCAAATCCACACACCATAAACATTTTCCTACACAAATCTCATCGAACATCTACCACATATCGAAGTCACCCCATCTGGCACACATCATAACAGAACAATACAATTCGAAAGATGAAAAAGAACTCGTATAACAATTTCATGAATCTTCCAAAGCAAACAATCAGACGCGTCCATAAAAAGAGCAGAAACGTATCCAGTGCATCACCGTTCGATAAACGAAAGAATAAATAAAACTAAGGTAAATAAATCGCGAGCTTCGCGACAATTTCTAAATCACGATTAACGCGACGCAATTCCGGGTGTCGCGCCAAGCGAAAAAGAAGGAATAAGAGTGAAACGGTGATATGAAAGTTGTCGGAATAAATTGGTATCCAGCAGATAAAATTAACCTGGACTCCGCCTGTCGTTTCTGCTTCTGTTTATAGCTCTATTCATCGTTGCACTAGGCTCGTATATAACGTGCATTTTGGTGGAGAAAATGGGTGTAAAAGATTTTGTTATTTGTCTTTAATTTTGGGGTGATTGAAGAGGTTCGAAGGTTCAAGCCTGGAAAAGTTGACTTTAAATTTTTTAATTTATTCTCAAACTCAAGCTACATTATGAAATTATTTCAGGTATGCAAATTATCAAATTACTTAATAACACGATGTATAAATTTGTAGATTTTCTACTTTAGTAAATTTTCAAGCTTGCAAATTCCAAGGGTGACAAGTTTCAAATCCTCAAATTCTAATATTGGTGGATTGGCAAATTTTTCAGTTCAATTCCCACATTAGCAAATCTAAAGATTGCCAAATTTTCAGATCCACAAATCCTGAAATTCCAAGATTTTAAATTTCTAAATTGGTAAATTTCTGACAACCTCAAATTCCCCAACTCCCCATTGTCCAATTCGTAAATCTTGAAACTGACAATCCTTAACTTCTTAAATTCCCCAACTCCCCATTGTCCAATTCGTAAATCTTGAAACCGACAACCCTTAACTTCTTAAATTCCCAAATACTCGAATATCCCACTCAAATCTCTAAACTTCTAAATTTCCAAACTTCCAAACTTCCGAACCTCTGAACTTCTAATCTCCTAAACTTCTAAATTTCTAAATTTCTAAATTTCTAAATTTCCACCCTGTCAACCCCAAAAACCCTAAGCTCCGCAAAATGAGAAACGTCTAAATTTGTCAAGCGACTAGACAAAGGCCTTTATCACCGAAGGATCGTGAAGCGCAGGACAAATTAGCGAACTTTATTTCGATTTCGATCGCACACCCTCTTTTTTCCCTGTCTATCGAGGCGAACGAGAATAAACGGCCCCTTACGCGTTCGCTCGACGCCCCTGACGATGGATTTTTTCAACGAACGGGCTTAATTAATCGAAAACGTGCTCGTTTTTCGTCGTTTCGATCGCACGCTTCGCTTCCAACGACAGAGCTTTATAAGCAAGAACCATTGCCACTGGATTATTTCCTCGTTTCATCAAATTGCGAAGTCATGGTTGCTTGATAGGGAGCTTTATTCTTGTATACGCTCGACGAAATAAATGAAGGATTAAGCTTTAAATCGCGCATGAATCGCTGCTCACTTTTCGTTATCGCATTCGCTTTCCCGTTATATGCATTAGTAAATGAATAACTTTTATATTCAGCAAAATAAGATGCGCTTCGATATTTATTTGCAAATCCTTTTAATAATCTGTATCGCTAATACTTTTTAATTTATACCATCATGAAAACTAGCTAAGTATTCAACCCTTGTTTCACGAATATTTTGAAATACAGTTTCAAAGGTGCTTAACAGGTATCGAAAATTTATACGAATTTTCATCGCGATTAATATTTTCATCCGAACACGAGAATGGCGTGTATTTATTACGTTCGACCATTCAATATTAATTTTTGCACCCGAAGAGCAATATCATAATAAATATTGGTGTTATAAATAAATAAAAAATGTTTAATTGATAAAAAAAATTTCCCCATCCACCCGGGAACCGAACCCCGATCAACGGCGTATCATTTCAACACACTGCCCCTCTGCCACAACGCTATTCGATATTATTCGGAATTAAAACTGTATTTACGGTAATGAAAAACCTGCAATCACGAATATCTAAAAAAACCATGAAATATCTGTCTCTATAATGCTACATTATCTTATACAAAACATTGAAACCTGCCAGTGAAAATGTACCATACATATAATTTCTATAACCATAGGGTTGTCTAGTTCGATGGTGTGTTTTCATCTGTTTGATTTTCGAATCTGTCGCGAGCAAACATTAATCATTATTTTCGATCAAAAACGTACATACAGTTTTTCACTGATATTTGCTCGGTAACAAACGTTCGAATCTGTCGATACAGAAAATTTCAGCTAAATTTTCCACCCCTTGTAAGATTAACCCCTTGCCGTGCCATTTATTTATGAGGTGCGTCAGTCAAGACTAACCATTCAGGACTATAACATTAAAACGAACAAAGAAAATTCAAATGTTCTAAGTATTTTATATTCAGGGATCCTTGACAACGCAAATTATAGTTGGATCTAAACTTCAAGTTAAAGAGTATTGAAAATTTGAGTAACATTAATCACATTTGAGTTGAGTGCGTCACGAGTGAGACTCGTCAAAGCACGGCAAGGGGTTAAGTAAAATACAGTAACGGTTCACACAGTAACGTTTATTATCATACAGAAATAAATGTCATTTACTGTACGATAATAAATGGAAATGGGCGTAAAAAATCCGCGGAACTAAAGATTTATCAGGGTTTTAAGTGAACACTTACCCGTAGGAATTGAATAAAAAGCCAGCGGCTAAATCTGCTTACCCCGTATCCAACTTCTTCCTTGTCTCTGTACGCGGCAAGATTAATGCCGAGTTCCGGCAAAATAAAATAAATCACTTTAATTTGTCGACGGGCTTCCTCTTCCTCCTCGCGTGGACATTTAACCTCGCGTTTGCATATGTAGCGTCGCGGACAAACCCTCTCGATCCACGAGCTAGCTTTTTTTTCCAGCTCGTACATCAAGTCCTGACCCTACCCCCGACATTTCTCGCGCACTGTTTTTCGAGTTTACAGGCCCTGCACGTGCTGGCACGGGTATTTATCGAACGATATAAAAGAACAATGCTTCTGCTACACGGGGACACCGTTGTCCTTCTCCCGCTTTTTCGACGCTGCCGATATTTCAACCCTGAGCACGCCATTTTCATTTTATCTTTCTTTGTCGGAGGTTTATACGCGAGGTCATTATGATTTTACGCCGCTACAAAGGTATTCATATTTTCGCCGGATATATTTCGCTACCCACGTTCTTATTTTTATAATAACCGGAATCTCTGCTGCACGCGTGTTTCGGAATTTTTGATAGTTTTGGACAGGTGGAGACATTGAAATTTCACGAAATTTTTGCATTTGAAAATTAACAGATAGTGAAATTATTTCGTAAATTTAAGAGTATTCAGGTTTACAAATTTTTAAGAGTTTGTATTACAGAATTTATGTATGAATTTATGAGTACTTGCATCTTCAAATTTTCAAGTGTACGTTACTAAACTTCAAAAATGACCTGAACTCTACCTAAACTACCTAGACTACCTCTTCCCAGACTATTGAATCACAAAAGTTCTTAAGATTGCAAGGATCCCTAAAATTCTACAAGTCCTTACCTTTCAAACATCTGCATCATTAAATTCCCAAATCTGCATATCTGTAGAATTCTCCAAATCTTAATCTTCTCCTACTTAAATCTTCATATCATCGCAACCCCAAAACTCAAGTGCTTGTATCCCCAAATACCTGTCTCCTGAATTCCCAAACATCCAAATCTCTTCAATCCCCAACATCCAAATCTCAATTCTGAAAGTCTCAAATTTCCCAAACATCACAAACTGAACCACCTACCTATCCCTTAAAATTTACCTCCAAAGCGACCCAACTTCTCCCGTGAATTTCCCCCCCGAAAAAAGGAACAATCGAAACTGCAGCTGCTTCGCAAACAGTTGGGAGCGCCGGAAACCGCATCGAGCCATCGAAAGGTTTGCCATGTAAATGGAGCGTGGCACTTGTGCGTCGCATTAAAATTGCATAATTGATCGGGGTCGAAACGAGCAACCTGCGGTACGTTCGAGGCGCAGTAACAATAACAACGGCAACGATAACGAACGTTTAAAAAAGCAGCAGCGTCAAAGGAAAATAAAACGCGGGTCGGTATAGGGTCGGCGTAGTTTATTCCGCGCGTAAGCATTTAATCACGCTTGCTCGTAAACGCGTATACGGGGGTCAAGCAACCACCCCCTGTCCTCCACTCCTATTTTCCAGCTCGTACATCAACTGGAGAGAACTTCTCTCTCTCTCGCGCGTTTTTTTGCATTTGCAGGAAATCGGACTTACGGTCAGCCTAACAGGTTCACCGCAAGGGGTTAATGTTTAGGGAGGGATTTATAGAAGTTAGAAACGGGGGTTTGGAGATTGGGTAATTTGGAAGGGTTTGTGTAAGTTTTGACAAGGTCGAAATTTGAGAAGGTGAAGATTTGAGGAGGTGAAGATTTGAGAAGGTGGAAATTTGAGAAGGTGGAAATTTGAGAAGGTGGAAATTTGAGAAGGTGAAGATTTGAGAAGGTGGAAATTTGAGATATTGGGAATATGAGAATTCGGGGATGTGGCAATTTGGGGAAGTGACAATTAGGGGATGTAGCAATTTGGGGATATGGGAATTTGGGGATGTGACAATTCGGACATATGGGAATTTGGGGATGTAACAACTCGGAGATATGGGAATTTGGGGATCTGACAATTCGGGGATATGGAAATTTGGAGATATGGGAATTCGGAAATATGGCAATTTGAAGATATGGCAACTTGGAGATGTGACAATTTGAGGATATGGCAACTTGGAGATGTGACAACTTGAGAATATGGCAATTTAGAAATTTGGGAACATGAGAAGTAGGAAATTTGGAAATTGGGTACTTTAGATTTTAGGAATTTGTGAGTTTGGGGTCATAGCAATTTGAGGACCTAGCTATTTAATGACCTAGCAATTTGGGTATGTGACAATATATCAATATATCAATTTGAAGCTTAAATTCCCCAAATAGCAATTGAATTCCAAAAATTCAGCATACAAACCTTACACAAAAAATTTGCAAGTTGACCTAAGATTCCATTCGCGAAACCCGTAAGAACAGCAAACCTGTTCTTACGTTCCTAGCTATTTAAAGAAGGACCCGAGTGTAGTTTCACGCATGTAAATACGTGGCGTTGAATATGCAATGAGAATATCGCGGCGTTTTTCACCCGCAACTTCTATCCCATCGTCGGTACTTTCTATACGTAGGAGTTTTTGCGAACCTTCGGGAGACTAGAATACCCGTGGGGATCAGGTGGCTCCTCGAGAACGACCGGACGAAGAATACGCGAGAATCCGGCCGATTGATTTCGCTTCGACGAGTGGTTGGTTTGCTGGGTCTGGATCTCTTTTTTCCTTCGCCCATTGATTCGATGATATCGAAGTGGCTCGTTGAAATTGAAAACTGTGTTACAATGTCTGCTCATGATTTGTACGGTGGAGTGGAGTGTCGTTGAAATGGAAATGTTTGGTGTTTCGAGAATCTCAGGTGTACCGAATCAACTGGCTTTTGAATGATTTTTGAACAAATTGCCTAGTAAAATAAGATTAATTCATGTTTTTGGTTGTGAACAGATATTTCTATGTATGACTAGCTCATGTTTTTATGTATTTGTCTGCGGAGACTCTATTATGTACACTTGGGTGCAACATGGACATCATTTGAATAAATAGGCATATATGTATATTTTAAATAAACATACTGTGGATATACATATACATACACTACCGTCCATAAGTATCCGGACACTTGGTTTCGTTACATAAAACATAGTTGAACTTTGTACGAAAGGTATTTAGGGTTATCATATCATTTGTAATAATTATTATTATCTTTTTTGAGGTGACATAACGTAATAGAATTAATTTTTAAGTACAAATTATACAATGAAGGTGTGAAAGTAAAATTCATGTCCAGAAGTACAAAGTCCAAATTTCTTAATCTAATGAAACGCTTTCGATTCTAAAAAAAATTTTCATTTCTACTGTGTTTCGTTTCTATGGTGCAGAACGTATTCAGAGGGTTCTTCGATATGTTTCAAGTGTTTGTAAACTGTTGGTAGATGTTTAGGTTCCCTCAATGGAGATAAGAATGGAGGT